TTTAAAGGAATTTAAACGCTTAGTTGATAGGTTTAAGAAGCATGTCATACTACTACAGTTATTATTTATTTCGCAAATAATCAAAGATTCTTCTTCGTATTACGGTTTACTCTAATAATAATTGTCCATATTAACTCTGATTGCAATCCTTTCTTTGTGGTCCTATGGTAGGCATCTGACCTTGATTTGTCTATTCCAGTCCTTAATTCTATCTCACAACAATCACTAAAACCCCTTTGATAATCGAATGATACCCTACTCCAGAGAAACAAACTTGACTTACCGAAACTCATTTTATTCAGACCGCAAAATTTACTTAGCGGGGTATATTATGGTGTGCCATATTGATCATGACTGCTGTGTTATTTCTGGTGGCTTAACTATAGTTTTGACATGTACTGTATCACAAACCTATTTCAAATGAAGGGCGGGATGGCCTAGCGGTCTAATACGTGTGCACAGCACCGCGCGTTGCCAATCAACATGATAACACAAATTATATATGACAAAATAACTAAGCCACATCTCAGTGCCGAGGCGGAGGGGCTTTTAACTCTGCCATTAATCTCCCGCCTTCACCCATTCGCCCGGGAAAACTACTTATAGCCTAACAGGCAAGGAAGGAGAGAACAAAATTTTTTTTTCAAATGGCTGTCTTGCCTGGAATATTAACTATCTCAGTTCAAATCGATTACATAAATATGTCTATTGCTATATTGTCTTCCGAGGCAACTTATTTCTCTGGCAATTTACATTAACTATTAGATGTTTAATATTTTCTAATGCTTGGGTTTGGGAGACTTTAACGCCAAGCACCTCTATGTTATCAGCATGACTTAAATAATTCAATAAGAAAGGCTTCATTTGTTTTATGTGTTGTAACAAAGTGGCTAATATATTGTAAAAATAATAATTAATGAAATGCTCCTCATTGCTATGATCCTGACCACTAGCGGATCCACGATTTAATTTTGAAACCTGAGCAACTATACAAACAGGAGACATAGCACACATCTGGATAACTTACAGATGAATAACAAAAACCTCCGCCCGCTAGCGGATTTATGGTAGAAGGGGCTTTGGGCTGATGATTCCTCCAAAATTGAAAATTAAATTTGTTTTACACTGATCTATTTTTGTTTATATAAGTGATATGATCTCAATTTTATATATATTGTGAGTAAAATCATACCACGCAGTAACTATTCTGGTTATGCCCTGATCAAAGCTAAAATTATGGAAGTTTTCTATCATACGTGTTACCTCTAAAACCAAGCAAGCCTTCAAACCCTGGTACTTTTTTAATATTATTTTCCAAAGAAATTATCATTAAAGCGGTTATTTGTTTACTTTGAGGAAAACAATGTAAATCCTAACTATCTGTTCGGCTTTAAACTAGCATACTCAAAAATGCAACAATGCAGCGAGTAGTTGATATATGAGGCCGTGGAATTAAAAAAAAAACGCATTGCAGCTTTCTTAGACGTAACAGGCCTTTGTTAAGGTGTTGCATGATGGTCTCCATCGTATTCTAAACTTAAAATTTTTCCTATCACATTCCTAATTTGATCATATCCTCATTATAGGTTTTTTCGTTGCCAGTATGGATAGTGAAAATTCTGAATCAATGCGAGGGCGACCCATGGTATCAGCATTTATTTGTTCAGTTGTGACTTTCCACAGAGACAAGAAACACTTTTCACAACTTACTCCTATGACACTTTTATGACTTACTCATATACTACTGCAAGGAACTAACTAATACAGATTTATAATTCCTATAACGTATAGAATCGTTTAAATGGACTAGAAAGTTGGCTTGATAGGCAACCTTTATAAAATTAACATAAAAGACTCAAATTATTTGATATTTACACTTAGATGTCTAAATTTTCCTGCAATAACATTTAACATTTTGTTCCCGAAACAGAGGCATACTGCTTGGGACTATCATTGGATCGACTTCTAACCTATCTCGTGACTACTTTTGAAAAAAAAAAAAAGAAGCTAAATAACCGGCTCTTCCTTCTAATATGACTACTATATCATAAAAACAAACTAACAAAACTATCACATGCAACATGTTAGACCCATATGGACCAGGTGTGGAACGTACTATAAATCTTCCTCACCACTTCTTTTGAATATATTTCCTCTACTTCGAGATCTATTATTTGTCTAAAATCTTACAAATCGATAAAATGTTAAATAAATATAATAATACTTCCCGCATTAATACAATATATTCCTATTTTGGGTAAGGAGGAAGCGAAATTGATGACTTTAACAGCTATGGAAACTCCCCTCTTAAAATAAATGCCTTAAGTCATTGTAGAAATTTTACGAACAAATAAGTAAAATAAAGATATTATAGTGATGATATATAAAAAATTAAGATCGTTTTAAAAGCCATGTTCACCATTGTGATACTAGAATTACCTCTGTAACCAAATGACCTTCATAAAAAAGAAATAAATAAATAACTTGGAGGGCAAGTCAGTATGGTGTTTGTTTGCTGTCCCCTTTAAGAAGATTGCACAATTTCATTTCATAATTCTTTACAGTAAATGTTTTTACTTTAGTGAAAACATTCACAAACTTATTAAACATTTATTCTGTGTTTGGTTGTCTAGAAGATCGTGAGAGCCCAAAAATGATATTAATCACAACGAAAAGGCAACGTGTTAGTTAAGATTTTCATTTGTTCGTCCAAAATCCATATTTAGTGCTAAGAAATCTGCTTCAGAAATAATTGCTCCGTTCAAAGTTGTGCCAGATTGACAATCGTCCGAAATAATTAATTTTTAATTATTTAAAAACACTTTGACACGTTCAATTACTGCTCACCATTGCTTATTTCGTTTAGTTTATCTGAAAAACGGGCGTGTTATATTTGTAATAGAATTCGTTTTTCTCTTTTATTCTAATTTAATTAATTAAGCTTTATTCAAATCTAAGAAAATCTATGAATAATGTTATGTATATGGAAATGGTTATTAAAACTGGTTACAAAAATACTCTTATCGAATATAAAGTAATTATCTAATTTTTTTGCAAATTTATTTGTTTATTTTTTTAGATTTATTTTAAGGCTTCAATCGAAGTACTCGATTGTTAATCTCACTGATATAAGTGCAAATTTTATAGTTTTCAGTAAAAAATATATTTATTTTGACATTATTTTATAATATCTTATTTATCAACTATCTTTATTTTCTTTATAATATTTGGTAATTCGTACATATATTTGATGTTCACCAAAACATTTGTGCAGACATTATCCAACAATTAACTCTTGGTCACATCAGCGAAATTATCATTGACAAAAAAAAATATACGTCAGTATCAGCTGTATATCAGAAAACAATTTAAACTTGATTTTAATATATCGGCATGTAGTACATGCATAACATACCAGTTCCTTATATTATTTTTTTACCAACTGCTCAGTGACGTGGAAGAATGACTCATTTAGATTTCGCCGCTAGTCATCTATCTTACGAACATCCTATGTCAAAAAGTGATTCCGGCACTGCTCAAAATACTCTTTTTTTCTAGGCTGCAACCATCCTCCTAATTTATTATATTTTTTTTTGTATTTATTTCCTGTATATCCAGCTCTTCAGCTGATAAGTATCGTACCGTCTTGAAAAACGTTGATAATACTGTTCAGAAATAAATCTTACCATGAACCATAATTTAGAAATAAACCATAGTTCTGAAGTTTTTTTGGATAATAAATATTCAGAATTTTAGTTGTTTTTTTTTATAATGATTTTGCACCCCTAGGTTTTATGGCCACATTCAGAGTATGGAACATTAGTGAAGTTAGTATTTGTCTGAGTCCTTCAGCTAGAAGTTCAACTACTCAAGTGTTAATTAACTTCACTGAAGCTCCTCAATGATGGTCCACTTGCTAGGGGCAATACAAATGGAAATCCTGACTATTTATCATCCAAGTAACATTATTAGTTACCAGCCTGTAATGTTATCGTAGCAAATCATTTCATGTCACACTGTCTGATACGGTTATAATAATCCAAGATCAACTAATGGCTTTGGTTTCAAACGAAAAACAAATGTTTTATGAATTTTCTTCAATATTCAATTTCATTTGGTAATATCGAAGAACAGTTAGTTATTGTTTAGTGATGACAGTTGAGAGTATTTTGTCAGTTTTACTTCAAGTCCGAAATGTTTTTAATTGGATGAACACAAGCAAGTGTGCAGCTATTAAAATAATTCAATTTCTATGAATTATTTAATTTTCCTTTTGTCGTATAGAATAAAAGTTTTGTTATTTAGTAAAGTTTATCGTTCCGTACTTAACTGTTTTTATATCTTTCACAAGAAATTTTAATCGGTATCTGCTCACTTTTATTAGGATTACTTCATATTTTGGTTCATTTGCCTGAAGATTATCAAGGATATTTATTAATCAATTGCCAGGTGTTGGATTTTTGTCCAGGTGAGGGTCGGTACCTCCACCGGTCGGACCTATTGAGAGGGCTTTAAAAACGATCCCCTATACGCCATAATAGGGAAAATCCGTACCACAAATATTCCCCTAGGCGACAAACATCTTTTGTATAAAATATATAAATCTTATCAATCTTAAATAAATTAATAAGCTATTATTAGCCTTACTTCTTGAGGGGTAGTATCCGCACAAATAGATGTGGTATAAAACTAACGTTATATATTTTTTAAATTAGGTTATCAATAAACTATTATTGGCTAATTAACCTAATTTTTTTAGATGTAATACAAGTACGAATCGAAGTGTTATGAGTCTCAGATTAAGATATACAAGTGAAATTCTATCATCTCTTTACTTGTTTGTATTTAAATTAAAAACCTTGCTTTCACATTGAAAATTTTGTTTTAATATATAACTTTTAAGTTTAGATAGATTCATTAAAATAACTGTAACTTTCTAAAAAATGACCAAGTTTCAGTTGATATATTTTCCCGTTAACTTGAATTTATTGATTACATACCTTCTGTATAATCATTATATTATATCCTTGTGTGGTAGGTGTTTACTTTATTAGCTTCACAATACACTAGATATCACCAATTCGTAGGATCGTGAAGAGAAGAACCATACTATCCCTAACGGTTAACTGCGTGTGACTGATTCTCCTCAATGCTAGGCAGGGGAAACATTCCCTGCAGACAGGGAATTTCCCTCATTCCCACAATCGACCGGAGACTCCGTTGTCTGCTGTTAAAGCCTTTCTGGGTTTTTAACCTGTCATTGCTTTACTCAGACGAATTTATTTTATTTACAGGCTCAGATAATACTAGAGCAAATGACTGGCGGGAATTGAAAACGGCACCACAACTTATTTATATTTAATATTACATGACGGACAAGTCGCCTTTCCACTTGAGCCGCTGTGAATGCCACCAGCCCTCCCCTCCCAATTGCCACTCAAACCACTACTGCCAACATGAAAAATAATAGACTAAAACAGGTATTCTCATCAAGATTTTTGCCATTCCATTTCAAATAACCGACCAAAAAAATATCAATAAAACTCATGATCTCAGCTTTTCATGTTTTGATTTGTTATATTTTCCATTCTTATTAACCTTGTAAAAATTTATACTGATATATGAAATACTTTTGTCAGATATTTATTTCCAATAATGTATGGAAAAAGACAAAACGTCTTGGCATTACAGAGAACTTGAGCGTTAGTAGACATAGTTTGAGTAGTAAATTCAATACATCTGGCAATTACAATCTTTCTTTTTTTTTAATCCATACTAATGGGTTAATAGACATTTTAATAAACTTGTTGGTTTTTGGACTATCGGTGCAATGAATAAAAAATATATTCATACACGTGATAACGTCATTTCATTATTTTTACAAGTGAAAGAAATTAGAAATTCGTTCAAGCTAAGTTACAACAAGATTGTCGTAATATATATATTCATTCAGTCACTGTTGTGGTAAATTGATTTCTCATATTTCTGGGAGTAATATTTTTACCATATTAAGTGGAATCAATGGGGAGGAAAATATTGTAGAGTAAATTTAACTAAATAAAGAAGGTAATACGGATGTAAATATATTAAAATAACCCGTTGCTACCCCTGCCGATTTTTTATACCAAGTTTTGTCTTTTTGGATGTCTTCGGTGTAAGAGTCCATAATTATGTTTTTTGAGGCGCATTTGAAGAAAACAATATAAATTTTAAGATGGCGCAACGGCTTCTCAAGTTTTTGAAACTTTCGGATCTCTTTGATATAAGGATCCATTATTAAGTTTTGGGAGGCGCTTTTTAAGAATACACTATCGAATATATGATTAAGCAAACGTGTTTTTACGATAGAGTGTTCGTAACTTTTCGAATTTATTAGACACAAGGGTCCATTTTTTGGTCGATTTTTGGTAGATTAGAAGGTATATTTTGCTTTCGCATGTTAAGTTTTAGTAACTGTTTGGATTATTCGATGTAAGAGTCAATTGTTATGTTTGATTGTGCTATCGCGCATCAATTTTTTTTTACTTTTCGGATCTTTTCCATGTAAGGATTCATGATTACAAAATCGTATCTATAATTTTAGTAAATTTTCGGATTTATTCGAAAGGAGAGTCGTATATATATATATATACGTAAGGTATATATATATAATATACGAATGCCATCAGCTGTAAGATTGCGCCAGCATGCATCAATTTTTTGTAACTTTTCGGTTTTTATGAAAATAGTATCAGTTTTAAGATTGTGCTATCGCGTTTCAAGGTTTTGTAAATTTTGTTAGTTCCTAAAATTTTGTAAAATTAGCTAAGAGCTAAACGTAAACAGTAATGGTCCAAATGTTAGCTGCATAAATTACCAAGAAAAAATCAAAATACTAACCCCGTTTGCTGTTTCCTCTCCCCAACCTCCGTCAATCCTTAATTTTTTATTCTTTGATGCATCTGCAATCACTTCTTTTTCACTTTCTATAGTATTGTTTTAGTTTTTTTAACCTGTTTGAATGTTGATTTATCCATTCTTTTGTACAGAACCGCAGAAACGTACATTAAATTTATTTAATTAATAAAAAAGACCGAGAAGTGGCATTAATTTTGTCATGCATTCATGATAATAATTTACGCATAGAGAAAATAAGCATGATGCTTTTTAATGAAAAAATGTCCAATCCGACTGTTTGTTGGAAGGGGTTTATGTCTGGCGCCAACTACAAGAACTGGGACAAGGATGTCGATACAGCACTGACCTGCCAAACGCTGACACAATATCTCCGTCAATAATGCTTGTTATATTGTATAATTATGTATAATATTTTGGATGATAATTATTATTTTTTACAGAATTTAGTCTGATAAAATACAACTTGGCAAACTTGTAGTAAACAGAAACTTGAATTTTTGTTTTAATTACTAGGGCTTTGCCTCCTGTTCTTCTAAAGGCGGACCAACCCCCAGTTAACAAATTATACAACTGTTCATTTAATTGTACTAATCGTTGTTGAAATTGTATAATTGTAATTTACATATATTATGTAGTTCATATTGTATTATTTTTTATCAACATAAACTAAACTAAACTACAGTTCGGACAATTTTTTAATTTCATTAAAAATTATGCCATTTATCGCCAATTTTTATTATTATATAATTATAATTATTCTTATTGCCAATTTGTAACTATAATATATATTCAACTTGTCCAGCTTCATATAAACCTAACATCAATTTGAGCCTCTTATTGTACGTTATATCGAGGGTTCTTTTCCATTTCATATTAATTATAATTATATCACGATATAATATAAATAATATTATATTTAATATATTGTATTCAAGTATCTAGATCGAAAATAACTGCAGCCAACTAGGTGAACTACCACCTCCAGATGAATACCATTGTCCAAAAGCATGATGGTCTTAAATCTATATTTCATATTTGGAGAGTAGGGGTGGTTACAGGAGCTCAATACTGTAACGAAGATATTAGGATGTAAATCTCAACCTCAATGCATATGTAATTAAATGAACAGCTGTGAAATTAGTGGTAATTATAGAGCTTACAGGAGAGCTCTAATCCTATTCTTCTAATGCTAAAATAAAATAAAATATGAAAGCCACTAAAAACTTTTTTATATAGTAATAATAATACTTTATTTATTCTGGGACAAGTCCCTTTAGAATAATACATAAGGACAGTAATGTGGGCTAAGGAGCCTCAGAGATACATAAGAAGAAATGTTGAGTAATAAAATAATCATATTAAAAATTATATGTTACTTTCTAACTTAAATAAGTTAATAATAAAAATTTTTAAAATAAAGTAAAAATAATGAAGGACAATCTAATAATTTATATACATATTTTCAGTGGTATCTATTTACAATTTTATGATTTTATGAGGACTGGATGGATAAGAAATGATTGAACAGGCGGGATTTAAAGGTAGGAAGGGTATTAGATTGACGGATGTGGGAAGGGATGGAGTTCCATAAGGATGAGGATCGGATAATGAATGATCTGTCGAAAGCAGCGGTTCGGTGGGCCCTTATATATAAATCAGAACACCTGGAACGAGTATTGAGGGAGCGAACAGAGGATTTGAATTGGAGGAGCTCGGAGATGTATGAAGGTCGATGGGATTGGATGACTTGAAAGAGGAAGGATGCCAGGAAATACTTACGACGGTAGGAAGGATAAAGCCACTTCAACTCTGCATAAAAATGGGAAACAGAGGCGTCCCTTGGGATCCCGAAGATGAATCGTACAAAGCAATTTATCAAGCGTTTTAGTTTCGCCTCGAGATCCCCAGAGACGCCCCCATATACCGTACAGCAATAGTCAAAGTGGAGAAAAATTAAGGAAGTGACCAGGAGTCTTCGGGTTGCAAGGGAAATAAGTGACGGAAGTGGTTTAGCCGTTTTAAGGTGGAAATGGTCCGGCGGGAGATGTTTGATATATGGTTTTTCCAGGAAAGCGTTTGATCGAAGGTTATTCCAAGGTTTTTGATAGAGGGATAAAATTTGATGGGATTATCATGTAGGAAAAGAGTTGGAATATGTGGAACAGTTTTAAGGAGGTGATTGGAGCCAATTAAGATTGCCTTTGTCTTTTCCGCATTCAACCTCAACTTGTTGGCTCTCGCCCAGTCGCAAATCTTATCCAAGTCTTCTTGAAGTTTTTCTGTGGCTAATAATAGGTCGGAGGGCGGGAAGGACAGGTATATTTGGAAATCATCAGCGTAGATATGGTATTGGGAGTGACGGGTCAGGAGAGGAAGGCCATTAATGTAAATAGCAAACAGAGAAGGAGATAGAGAGGAACCTTGAGGGACACCACAGGAGAGGGGGAGGGTCTTAGATGGGAGTTGACCTGGGACGACTACATACTGGGACCGATTTGAAAGGAAGGATTTGAACCAACTCAGAACACTATTAGATAGAGGAAGATTGTGTAATTTCGTAAGGAGGGTTATGGTGTCGAACTGTGTTGAACGCTTTGGAAAAATCTAGAAGGATGAGGATGGTAAGGTTTTTGTGTTCAATGGAGTTTTGGAGGTCATGGGTTATTTTAAGGAGAGCGGATTGCGTTGAGTAGCCAGGTCGAAAGCCAGATTGGAATGGATTGATAGGGGAACGTTCTTCTAGGAAGTTGGAGAGTTGATTTTGGACAAGGCGTTCTAGCGGCTTTGAAAGGTTGAATAGGAGAGAAATAGGACGGAAATCGTGCAGTGAGGTAGGATTTGGAATTTTATTCAAAGTTTATATAATACAGAGATAATGGACAAAATCTATTTAAACAGATTGAGAGATTGAATTGTTGTCAAATTTGCGTTAACATCATGTGTACTTATTCCTAAGTTAGCAATATTTGCAATAAATAAGCCTACTTGATCTCATGAGGACGGAATGCTGAAAGGATTGAAGTAATGGGGAGGAAAGCCCATTTCCACCCTTCTTTTCTCACTTGCTCACTCTATGATCACTATTTACTGGGGCATCGTCTAATAATTTTGTAGCCATCGGCTATTTAAATTGCTTTAAAATAGTCGTCATCTTTCCTAGTAGTAGTATGAAAACTAATTTTCGTTTTCATGAATGAGTTTTACATTCATAAAACAGTTATGTATATGTTTCCCAGGCATGGAGGCTTTAGAAAAAGGCATTGGTTATTGGGAAGATGCTCTGGCAGCCTACCAGGGCGGAGGAGGCACCACAATTGCTATCACGGATCGGGAAGAGGCAGAATTCTCGAGGGACATTGAAACTTTATTGGAAGGGGCTTATCGCCTTCAACGGAAATGTGAACTTCTCTTCTTGGATCAGGTGAGTTTTATTTTATATATATATATTGTCTGTATTTCTATTAAAATTATGACAAGAAATGTATTCTTCATTTTTGTTGATAATGACGTATTCCCTTTTCATTAAAAACCAGCGCAGTAGTTTCACCTGCAATCCTTACGTCCTTATAATATTCTATGTACCATGAAAGCTTGAAAGCCAATAAAGTTGAAGAATCAGTAACCTTTAACTTCGCTGATGAACAATTTGTATTTAATGAAGTAATGAATATTACAATTTAAGTTCAAGTAATTTATTAAGAATATCACACTTTAAAAAATTAATTAATAGGCTTTACGAATGATTGTTTTAGTTACTTTTTACAACCTTGGAAATGTGCATTGGTTGATACGATACCAATATTTGTAAAAATAGGTTTGTAAGAACCGGGTATGTCTAGTTTTTTACAACTAGAAGTGAATCTCAACATATTCTGTAACTCATCTCAACCCGATAGATGTGGACTTACAGCTTATTAAACCAGTATTTTTTTTTTCTAAAAATGGAGTGGAAATCTGTTATCTAGTTAGATAGTGATTAAAAAAAAAAAAACATACAATCCATGTTTTAAGGAATTTAGCCATTTAAAATACTCCAATTTAATGGTCTTAAAAATACAAATTCTGATAACATTTGAAGACAATTTTGTACAAGACAATACTGTGAAACAATTGGTAATTACCTATATTACATTATTTTGAAGTGAAAATTTCTAAAACTCGTTTTATGTATATATATATATTTTGTGGGGAGCGAATAAAATCGAGCCTTCAGGCTCGGATGTGTAACTCTCATTCGGGTAAAATCCGCTCGAGTCGACTAATTGAAGTGTTTTACATATGGATTAAAAAATCCCAGAAATTAAAAATCGTACTTGCATATTGTAAATGAGAGAAATGCTCAGAATTTCATTCTATTTATAATGAGATATTATTCAAAATTGTATTTCAACGCAACGCTGTGTTAAAGAGGCGAAAAGAGAAAAAATAGTGCCGAAAAGGAAATGATGAGTTTTATTGAATATATGTATTAAAATATCTCTGAAAATACAAATCGGTCCTGCATACTGTATGCTAGCTGAACCGGTCTGTTCAGGCATTTCATTTTCTTTGAAATGAGTATAGACCGGATTTCCGTGTACTGAAAAACAACAAGCAATATCAAACTCAAAATGTGCAAAATAGTACAGTAAACACCCAAGAGGTGGAAAATTATAAAACATACAAAAATCATAGTTTTTGTTTAATTTATAATATTATTGCTTGTTTACTCCTACGTTCAGAGTTATAGCCTATAAATTGAAGTTCGGTATAAGGTGCAGTAACTTGAGAATAGTCGAATTCTAATTTAAAGTGAACGAATGTTAAATTATACCTGTATGAAAGAAAATATACACGTATACAAACATATATATATCACGCAATATAAAATAAAAACAACAAAAACTCATAATAAAACAAAAAATCAATGTTAACAAAAACACTGTAACCATTCAATTAATTGGTAAGGGATGGTATCACTTCGGGAATAGAATACATATTGCTTACGGATAGTAAAAATAAATATATATGGTTCTCTTTCTCGATACTGTCTATATTGAGGATGTTCTGTACATTAAAATAAGGAGGTGAATCGGATGTATATTGCTGCAGGTATCTCTCTCTATGTACTTTGGATGGAGGACACTTGTGAAGAAGGTGGTATAGGCAGTTAAATATATATTGTTTACACGCACTGCAGATTTCTTCATCTTGTATAATGTAAGATTTATTTTGCAGATTTATACTTATGGTGTGTGGGTTCGAGATTCTTAAACGGCTAACAACTCGCATTTTGTGTATACAAGTATTAAAAAGTAAATGCTCTTCAGGAGTAAAATCTAGACGGCTGAGGGTTCTGTAGACTGGATTATTATTTGAATTTAGAGCTCTATTGATGTCTTGAGGTAGAAGATGATTTTCCATTTTTTCTATAATGGTCTTCTTCAGATTTCACATTCCCATTTTATAGATCTCGTTTATTTCATTGAGACTATTAGTTGCTGTGGCTAGATTGTGAACTTGTAAGACGCAGTTAAAATCAATGGCAACTTCTCGCATACTTCTCAGTCTATTGAAGCACATTCGTGGATACCTGTTCTCTGGTAGCGTTGAGAGTCTTATCCAGAGGTTGACTACTTCTTTTATTATCATAATTCTCATAGAACTTCGTCCAGTCTCCAATCTAACTATATAATTCGGTACACTTTTAGTCCAAAGGAGGAGATTTTTGAGACATTTTAGCTAGATGACTTCGAGTACATCTAAATAAATACCTCAAACTCCATATCTCGGCAGTGTAAAGCAATATAGTTGAAACCATTGAATCAAACAATGTCATTTTTGTTTGCCAGGCGTCACTCTTTCTTTTTCTTAGGATTTCTAGTACCCCGCCACTTGCCACGAATAAAATGTTTAGATGCTTTATGGAATTTCCCAGCAGATGAGAAAGGCACCCCTAGATAAGTAAGTATGGCTGTTAGTGTATTCTAGTTGAGAATTCTGCCAATAGGGAGGTTTCATAGTTTTGGGAGACTTGTGGAATACAAGTACTTTTGATTTTACGGGATTTAACGTTAAGCCGTTGATCCTTCAGTATTGTTGGAGAATCCTCAATTTCTTTTGTACACCATGCCAGGACCCCCGTTACAGAAGTTATATAAAAAAATGACGAAGTTTTTGGTAGATATTTAGCAAATATATTTCAATCAGAAGTATTTATTACATGTTTTAGTTGTCATGAACCTACTGCTGCATTTATAGATTATGATGCAAATGAGGATCAGCCAGAGCAAATTGTACAACATTAATTTTACATAATTATAACTGTATATATTATAAATGTTATTCTTTTGTGAATATAGGACAAAAATTAGTTTTGCACAACTATAACTATATAAATTGTAAATGTTTATTACTTTGTGATTATAGAACAAAAAAATTATATTTCATATTGCAAATCTTGCCTTGTTGATATTTAAAATTGTATCATGTGGTTTAAAGCACACACCGTAGTTTTCTTTGGTTATTGCTTCCTATTAAACACATCACTTAAGACTCAGGTGACGAAGACACTAAAGTTAAATTTCCTTCTTTTCTCGGATCATGTTCGATAACTTTGTAGCCCGCGAGGTGTACTATCACCTGTTTAAATATTTCCCTTTACTTAGCGGGCACCCTATATATGTAAGCCAATGCTAAAATGGTTTTGCTAGTCCATCGTGCTGTCTTAGGCCTCTCTGAGCCTTGGTCGCTTCACTTATAGTTCACAGTTGGTTTTGTTCATGGCCATTGCAATCTGCCGAGTTAACTTATTACAAAAAATAAAGAATAATCCTTTCACATCTTTCAGATTAGCTTGGGCTACAAAAATAGCTCTACCTAGTTCTGGTTAAAAGTTTTTATTTTGTGACTGCTTTAATTCTTATTATTTTTAGTTCAATACGTATAAATACCTGCACTTTATTTAAATACCTCTAATCTAACATTTTTGGTTTTTGTGCCACTTTAAGCGTAATAAGTCCAGTACCAGTGAATGAGAGAAAAACTAAGTATTTATTGAATTTGTTGAGTGAAGCTTAGATTAGTCCGGGTATGTATCAAATTTATGTCTGTAGAGCACACAATTATAATGCCTACAACTCCTTTTGATTACTCATTGACCAAACTATATAATAAGGAGACAAATAATTAAGAGAGAAGTGCAATAAAATTGCAATGCTGCTGTGTTGAGTTGCTAAACGACACAGCCAGGGGTGTCTGTCCCTCCCTACCAAGGTCGATGGCGCAAGAACCTATTCTACTCCCAAGATATTTTATTTCTCACTTTTTCTTAAAAACAGAGCAATTGAAGGTAGAATAAGAATCGTAGATCATATGCAATTACACTTGCTGAGGTCTGTTACATGTTTCCTCCCTTTTCCCATAATATGAAACTCTGAAAATTCATAACCCAGCAGAAATTTGCCCCCTCAAAAATTCAAAAACCTGTCAAAATATGCCGTCTCTAAAATTTTGAAACCCCGTTCTGGGCACCTTTCGACATAGCATACTGATCAATCTTATCGATTATGAAAACAATACAAAAAGGATTAAGTTTTAAGACAATTCGCAAAGGCCACGAAAACCACGAATCTTGCTGCGCTATCCGTATCTAGACAATAAACTTCGAAGATCCATCTACTTGTTTTATTATTCAGGAATTCTTCGGCTATTTGATGATTTATATTAATTTGCCGGCAGGTGACAAGCATTTTATTCAGACATTTGCCCAATATATGCTTTTCTGAACTGACCGCATTTGCAGAAGAGGGGTCCTATATCTTCATTCGTCTGCCCTCCAGTACCTGGATCTCAGCGGGAGGAGCGTAGTTGAAGTATTCGTCCAATCTGAGCCCGTAAGAATTTTCCTGTCATACATAAACTTGTAAGCCCATTGGCTTGACTTAAAATAGGACACACCTATGCTCTGCCATTTACATTTGTTCCGATTCTCAAACGTCTTCTAGCGTTTTCTGGAAGATACTCAGTGCTGAAGAGGAGGCTCCTATATCGCCGCTTACCGTTGTTTTAACACTTCTTCTTAGTATAATATCAATTGATTCCATTAGCGATGAAGTCAATGTCGCCAATGGCGCTTCTTGCAGTGAATATATTGACGAAGGGAATTCACATGTACAATTTATTATGTTGATTTTCTGATCCGGCTTAAGGAGACTCAAATTAACTAGCTTTTCCATATTTCACACCATGCTCACAAAATTATCATCTGACTCTAACTCATCGGAGAAATGACACCCAAAGTATTTGGTAGTGTCACCTTCTTACCATATCCAGTATCCAAGCATAATTTCGATTTCATCAGCTTTCCTTTCTTCAAGAAAATCCCCAACCGTTTTTTAGCAGTTATTATAGTTATTCATAAACTGTTATGAATGCCGACGCTCCTAAGAGGTGTTCTCTAAAGATGGCTGATATCGAAAAATATTGTAAAGACCTCTTTGAGAGCGAAAATCTCTGCAGGCGTGCGGATTACGAGCAGTGTGCCCCGATGCCAAATTTAGTGTCCATTGATCTAGAAATCGTCAAGAAAGCCATTAAATCAACATCAACGCAAGGATTATCGACGCTGTATTGAAAAATGCAAAGATTATGAAAAACGATTGCGCGGTGGTATTCCTTGACGTTGTCGGTGCTTTTGACAATGTTGGCCACAATCATATCGTGAGCTCCTTGGAAGCAAGAGGTGTATCGCCGGATCTTAAACACGTTATATCGGCTCTCCTCTGCACGAACACAATCAAAATTAGTAACGGTGTTCACGCAACTAGCCAAATCAAAGTGCTGCGCGGGGTACCCCAAGGCGGCCCCTTGTCGTCATCGCTCTTCAACCTGGCCATTGACCATCTCTATCGCGACCTGTGCGATGAAGAATTTTCCAAAAAATTTGGATACAAGTTAAAAAGTGACCAAGGTTGTGTGGTCCTCACAGGTTTCGCGGATGACCAGGCCGTGTCAGCGCGTGACAAGGGGGCTGCAGAAAGAGTGATCGGCAGCGTTCAGAGGACGTTTGAGGAAATTGGTTTGGCTATTAATCCTCAAAAAAGCGTGGGCATCGTTCTAAATAAAGGAGAGCTGGAAACCGCGATGCTCTCCCTTGAGAACGGAGAGTACATCCAAACATTGCAGAATGGAGATACAATCAAGTATTTAGGATGTACATTCTTGGGAGAGCTACAGTTCAATGAAGATTCGGTGACCAAATTGAACGAAAATCTGAATAAACTGGTAACCTCTCCCTTGCTGAAGCCGGAGCAGAAGCTAAACATTGTTCATTTTGGACAACTATTAACGAAGTTACAGCTATTCAATTTCCAATGAAAGATTACAAGTTCATTTCCTGGTGTCAGAAATGGGTGAATGAGAGAATAAAGATGACTAAGTGAAAGAAAGAAAATCTGTTGCCCGCATCACACAATCTTCATTATTTCCTCTACTTTTAACAGAAATTATTGTTTGACAATACTAAGCTATGACAATAAGGTTTTGATCAGCAATATTAGTGAGTATTGAAATTTTTACACTGATCTACCTTAAGCCGGTTCCATTGCTTTAGTTTATCAAATAAATCGTACTCAAATCTTTTGTTTGATCAATTTTCAGGAAAATAAATTTCGTTCAATTATTTTTTGTTTCTTCATGAACATATGTAAAGATATAAAAACTTTTCTGAAATAGGTAGGAAAGTCGTGTGAGTGGACAAACCAGATATTTTTTGTTTGTTTTTGATGTATAAATCGTTTCTGAGCGTCTTGCGATTTCGATGATTCATTGGTTTGAAAAGATGAAACTATAGTTATTTTATCGTCTGGTGTTGAATTTTTCAATTAATGAAATCAATTATCTGTTTCCACTATCTAGACTTGGCTTCTTGTGACTTGGTTATTTGGACTTAGTAGACCTCAAAACGTGTATTTCCATTGAAAACTGAGATTAAAAATTTTTCTCTTACTCTTGATCGCAATACTTTCCCTTACTATATGTTATATATATAGGTAAGTAAAAGTAAAAAATAATAAAATTAAAGGTTTATTCGATCTTATTGGTAAAAATTTTGTAAAATTTAATAATTTGTGTAATATCCTCTGTTAAGTACTACCTCTCTGCACCTATTGCACATACGGTTTATAATGTCACTAATTTTACAAGGAATTTCATACCATAAGCATGGTAATACTGCTCTCAGTTACTGAAGGTTAAGAAGCTGCAAATGTTAATAAAAAGGCCTTCCCTACAGTGCATCCCACATGTACTCAAAGGGAATGAGATGTGGAGAAAATAAGGGAAGTGGCAGATGTGAATTCTCCTAATTTTCAAGAAGTTGATGAACAACTTTTTCTCTATTAGGAAATGTTGCGCGTGCTGTTGTCAAGAAAATGGAAATCTGCGTGGCTATCATGGACTTGGTTTGAGGAATGTACTCCTCTGTAATTTTTTTAACACAACGAACTGCAATGAGATTACCTTCCACCACTAGCGGATCCAGGATTTAATTTTGGGGGAAAGGCTTCAGCCCGAAAGCTTTTTTTTCATAAAAATAATGATAATTACTTTGTAAAAAGAGAAAGAACCTAACTACCTAGATGAAATGGTGTTTAAGTAATTCCTAAAAGCCTTTTAAATGTAATTAAAGGAACAATAATACTTTAAGAGATATTTTTTAAATATTGTTTTCCATAAAACATGGTTATATTTTACCATTTTGGGAGAGAGGGGACTTCAGTCCCAAAGTCCCTCCTCCCGTAGAACTCTCCGTGCCTTCCACAATATGATATAGTCCTTCCTCCTGAGTAGATTGCACTTCTAAGCTTTATTGAAGAAAGCTCAAACTGAGAGTGTACCTATCCCCTGTTCTGAGTAGACTCTTCGGCACCTACGACGATAGCTATAAATAAACGTGACTTGTCTGTAAACATAATAACAATTCGCACTTACCGGTGTCCTTGGCTGGTTATTCTCACGATAATATTATGAACTTCTGGCTCAATATGCTAATGTTGTCTTTCCTTCGTTAATATGTAATTGCCTACCCTGTAGGACCTACAGTTTTCCATAATATTGAGTGATAGAGTTATTTAAAGTTATATTATAGTTAAATGTTTTAAATGTTGGTACTAATGAATAAGTTTTTGTTTTAGCGATCTGTTCTATTTCGGGCAGAAAGTTCTGTTCGTAGTGGCTCAGTGAGATTTAATGGATTTTCTTCAGCTGAGTCCTTTGTATCTGCTCAAGATGAGGTTTGTTTTTATTATATTACTTTATATTTGCAAAAATTTAATGAAAATTTTAAATAAATGTTATTATAACCTTTTTATTGGAATAAATGGAGATGTTAGTTGTAGATTCTGATTTTCTAACATAACATTTAAATCCGGCCTCCGCGAGGTATCTGCGGCCTCCATCGTTTTAATCCGGTTTTGGTTAATCTAGCGCGGTATAATTAATTAATATTTAATTATTCATGTTACGAAAATGTGAAAATTAATTGAATTTAGTTATATACAATTTTTTTTTTTTTTTTAATTTTTTTCTAGTATTAATACAGTCTGCCACACTGAAGGGCATTGGTACTAGGGCTATAGTATTCATTCACACAATATGTACATAAGAAAGGAAAAAATATTTATATAAATAAAAAGATAAAGTAATATACAAGATAATTAAAATAACAGATTAGCCGAATAATAATAAAATAAATAAAACACATTCACACCTATCTATGTACAATATTTACATTGGCCGAGGGGACTCCGAATCAAGCTTTGTCCCCCGACTGTGGAAGCCAAAGCTATATACATTTAAAAAAAATAAAATAAAAAAAAACCTGTACCAATGCAACTCATGAAGGGTCTTGGGTTCAGTACTATTTCGGGAAAGTACTGTTTCTGAGTCAGCGGTTGTGCAAGGGAGTTATTTGACCGAGATCACGCTCAACTGCCAAGTTTTCCCTCTTAATTAATTATTTGATTAAGGGTACCCACTTTATAGAGGCTAGGTGTGCTCCAGTTGGGTATCCTGATTCCAGGCCTCACGGCTGATAAAAGAGAATAAATAATTATATTAAGTGTATATATATATATATATAAATATATATATATTATATATATATATATATATATATATATATATATATATATATATATATAAATTAATAAAACAATAATCAAATAACGCGTTAATACTAATCAATAAATAAATTTAGAGGGGAAATAGCCTTTTATGGGTGCGAACATTTTTATCATTGGAGGCCGTAGTATAATGGAGGCCGCAATATTATCTTACCTTTTACTGTTGCTATTTTTATTTATTAGTGAATAAACATTCATATAGCTGAGATATCTTGCTTCCGATTTCAAGATTAATGATAGGCTTATTTAAACTTTTTTTACTAAGGATCCATTATTAACGGAGTTACGGAAAGCGTAATGAACTAAAATGCTATGGATTTTAAGATTGCTCTATTACGTACTGATTTATTTTTAAAAACAATCTTTGATAAGGTCTATCATTATGTTCCTCTTCGAATTTATAGTATTTAAGGATTTACGATTATGTATGGAACTGGTACACAAACCCGCCACTGATACCTGATATTTCTTAAAAATGTTTTGGATCTTTAACCTAACCAAAGGTTCTTTCTTATAAATTGGTGTTACATTTCTTGTTCGTTTTTATAATTCTTTATTTATATTTTTTTTCACGTTGAAATAGGGAAGGAGCTGCTTGCTCCGTTTTGTTGAATAGACTATTAGTCTATTGAATAGACCGTTTTGTCTATTGTTGATTAGACTTATGCATCCAAAGAGCTTTTATTCTCTGGATAGTATCAATATTTGCACTTTGCTTTTATAAACTTTAGTTTTGAAATTAGAAGATTTCTTAAATAAACATTCTAAATCTTTACGTTCAATCACAAAATTGCGGCTTCAATCACATCTTCTAATCTTGTCTACATTCCGCGGTACAGGCACCTTTTTACCAAATTATTAGCACCGGCCTGATACTTGGTGAATCTCTTCATTTAATCGTAACTTACAATCTTTTTACATACAAAATTCTTAGAAATGTACAGCAATTTGCTTTTCATTTGAATCATAAGATAATTTGGTCACAAAATCTAAGAAAAAGTTGGAGATCAAAAACATTTGGGTGACCTTCACCCCCAAGATTTGCAAGAGATGTCGACTTCAAACAATAGTTTGAAAATTAGCTGATTACATCCACTATACTAAAAAGACATTGTTTTGTTAACGCGTTGTTAACTGTTGACCAGTGACTAATGAATTTTATTAACTGAACTCCCCCAAAACCCCCTTCCTCCCTCCCTCTCAATAATTCCAACAACAAATGGCACTCACTGTATCGTGGTTTGATTTGAAACAAAGTTCTTGTAAAAATATTGGATTGGAGTTCAGAAAAAATCATCTTTTAAGTCTGATGAAGTTTTGCAGTTTAACCAATGTATTTTTGAAATACTATAAATAAAATGAATAACATCTAGAATGAAGTAAATTACTTTATAGATTGCTGATCTTCGAGAGTTTGAAGAATATTTAGATCTTTCAACAGATGTAGAAAAACTTCCTTTTTATCAAGCAGCTGTTAAACAGTTTGAAGAGCATGGGATTCCTTATAGGTATTTAGTAATTATCAACTAGTTTAAGGAAATTGACAACAGTCTTCATAAATTTATAATCTTTTTTCAGATGTTTACGTACAGAGATGGTACATTGTAGTTCTGATCTAGAATATCTTTGTAAGCTTCATTGTGTTCGTCTAGCTTTCTCTTGGATGTTTCAAGATAAAAAGACATGGGATTGGTTTGCCGATTCAGGAAGACAAGTTTTAACAGATTTAATTTTATATGCAGATAAGGTTTTAAAAGAAACTTTTAACTTTAAAACTTTTTTTTAAAATCGACATAGCAAGTTTATTTAATTTCATTTGTTTCAGGACCCCAAAGATTTTATTGTTGCATTTGAAGAAATGCTCATTTTTCTGCAAGATGATGATGTCTGGTCAGAAGTTGAAAGAGAATTGAGCTTAAAAGGTGTGAAAGCTATGACATTTTTTGATGTTGTATTAGATTACATTCTTATGGATGCTTTTGAAGACTTAGAATCTCCACCCTCCTCTGTTACTGCTGTAGTTCAAAATAGATGGCTTTCGAATGGTTTTAAGGAATCGGTAATCAAATCAAGAATAAAAAATATTCCTTAAAGTACTTAAGAGAATTGTCATTACTTGTATAAAATTGTCTTTACAGGCATTAGCAACTGCTGTGTGGTCTGTTCTAAAGGCAAAAAGACGTATGCTCGTGTATCCAAGTGGTTTCATGTCACATTTTTATTCTATTTCTGAACAGCTATCTCCCCTTTTGGCATGGGGCTTTCTTGGTCCAAATGACGATCTTCACGAAATGTGTCTATATTTTAAGGTAATATAATTTTTCCGTCTATAATTGTTTCCAAGTCATTCTCGTTTATTTGTAAAAAAAAAATCTTCTTTCAGGATCAGGTGATGAACTTTCTTATGGACATATTTAGTTTTCAAAAATCAAATTATATGACTGTTGAAACGTTATCTGAAGATATCTTGAGGCATGTGAAAACAAGAGTGGAAAATATCGAAGTGAAATTAGCTAGAAATTTTGAATCTATTCAATAAGTAATCAGCGTTTTCCAATTATGTAGTTGTAAAAATAACCTTGATATTTACATATTGCATTTGTATAATTTGTACTAGTAACGTTTTATTTATTTATGAATTTAAACATTAAAAAACATATACGTAGTAAAATATCAAATTCCAAATGTTACAGAATTCAATTTTTCCTATTTAACAATATCATGTATAAAAATTCTTTATTGTATTTAAGTTAGTCTTACATCTGGTAGGGTTTGTAATTCTAAATATTTGCTTAAGACTTAAATCATTAAATACAAGAACGCTGGTTAGACTGCAGCATAAAACAGAGGCGCACATTACTCCTTTTATACCTTGCTCATTTGGTGCAACAACCTGGTAACTCGAAAATCACAATTTTTCAAGAGAAGTAATTTAAGTTTTCACTTTATTGGATTCACTGAAACAATAAATCAAAATAAATATAAAAAAGTTATATTATATATAGAGTTATATATCTGTTGAAGTAATTTAATCTATAAATTTCGAATAGAGCTCTGCCAATTAGATTATATCCTTACATGAGAAAATTGAGTCCACTTTTAGATTATATTAAATTGTTGAATTTCTTTTTCATTTATTTTCTTAAATATTTTTAAAGTGCCCAGAGACATTTCTCTTACACCAAATCAGTTCAAATTCAAAATTGCTCTACTCACTGTGCAGGAGATGTAGAGGTGCTCAAAGCCTTAAAAACCATGAAAAAATGTTTAGAAATATATACAATTTTGACTGAAATTTATCTCCACTGTTATTGTTATGGTTAAAAAACAACCACATGTGCCAAATATTTGCTCATTTGATCTGTGGGTACCTGAGGAAGCACCTAATTTAGCAGGAAAGATATATATGGATATATATGGGTAATATATGGATAAAGATATATATGGGTACCTTACGAAAAAAAAAAAAGAAAAAAAAAAGGGCAATTGAAAAGTAGATAGTTTGTTTCGACTCTACTAAACGATATATTCTAAATCTAATTCTAAATCGACCCAGGCCACTGCACTATGAAGATGTACATTTATATGCACCAATATTAGTCCAGTTAACGAAGGGATTAAAGAGTGCATGGAGGATGGACAAGCAATTGACTTTGGGAATTCGTCGAGGACACTTAAACATAATAAAAGCCCCCTACAGCTTCCGCTTCATGGAGGAGAGTGCCTTAAATGTCACTTTTTCCATATTGTACCATATATCTTAAAAATGAGGTGTCGCAAGCAAAACATTGTCGTATAAGAATAAAGCTGATAAAGTTTCCTTTAAGAAAGTATATTTTCATTACTTTCACATCTTTTCTAGTTTTCGAGATATTCACTAACTTAAATTGCCTATTTTCGAAAAATTTATTTTCGTTGTTTTTTGTCAGATTTGTCTTTTAACACCTTGGCTTTTCGTTCTAAAAGAAAATGGTCTAAAAGAAAGTTGTCGGATATAGTTTTTTATTTAAATGTGTACATCATTTATTAGTTTATATTTTATGAGTTCTAAGTTACATCAATTTTAAATATTTTGATAAATTTAGATTTTTTAATATATATATTTAAAAATATTTTTTCTCTTATGTTCCTCAACGCAGGACATGTGTCTGGATGGTCTGCATCCATTGTTCCATGATAACACAATTTACAGCTAGGATCCTCAGCCACGCCTCTTGTAGAGATGACTCTGCAGATAGGCGTGACCAAAGGCCAGGCGGAAGCAGGCAACTGCATCTCTTCTCGGAAGTTCAGCTAGAATCGGATTATCCTTTAAACACTCATAACGTTTCCCTTCCACTTTGCCCAAATGTGCTTTTCTTATTTCTTCCTTCACTATCATATTTACCATTCGCCGTATTGAATCATAAGGTTTTGGATGTATCGGCTGAGGCAAATCTGTTCCTCGCTTGGCAAGACTATCAGCCTCAACGTTTCCCGGAATTCCACAATGGCTTGGGATCCACTGTAGGACCACATTGGTGCCTCGGAGTGTTAGGTTAGAGAGGAGGGATTCGCATTCCAATATAGCACTCGATAAACATTCATTCGTGTTTGTAACAGCGGGAGCGGCTGCTTGAGAGTTGATGAAGAGAACAGCGCTCTGATCCCGCCTTCTAGACAATGTTCTTAAGGCTATGAGGATTGCCGCTATCTCACCGTCACAATTTGTTCCATCTTTACCCACCTCAGCGCTGATTTGGAATTCTCTCTGGTAAACCCAGCTCCAGCATTTTTAACGGCTGATTCAGCTGATCCGTCGGTATAGATATGGAGCCAATCTTAGGAGGGTACTTTTGAGCTATAGTTTCTAATGCTAATGCTTTTAGCTCGTATTCAGGTGTTTCTTTCTTATCCACCTCATGAATGAGTTGCAGTTCTGCATTGCTTGCGTGATTGTGAATTGGTAACTGTGGATGTATAAATGGTTCCCTTTCTTCGCAGTCAAGCCCTCTTTCTTTAAGTAGTGCCATCGCCTTCAGCATGAAGGATTTTTTTGTCTTGAGCCGTTGAGTGGGGATTTTGTAATTTTTCCAAAATTCTGGGTCCATTCTTTTCATTCGCTTGTGAAGGCATATTGCAGCTAGCTCACGCTGTTTTGATAGGGGTTCTGCTGTAGTCTGCAGTTCCATAGCTACAACAGTATGGCTAAATGACCAACGACTGGCATAAGAGAAAAAAATATATATATATTTTTATAAATTTCATCAATCCATATGAGAAAATATAATTTCTTTTTTTGAGCATGAATGTCCATCTCCATTAATGTCACACATAAAAGGTGTATACTATAAGTTAATCAAATAATATATATATATATATTATTACTAGTGTAGTAACCACATGTTTGCTGAAGTTAATTGTGTTTTAGGATACTTTGACCCATTTCATCTTATGAAACAACTTTTTGAAATATGCTCGTACATGCTACTACAAAAAAGTATTGATTTTAATGAAAAACATACACTGACAGGCAAAAAATTCCACCCACTTGATTTTTCCATGTTTTCGTCTAAAAATATTTTTTTAAAGTTGTATTTGTATATAATACATGGTATTTGTAGATAATACTTAGTATTTATGGAATTTTATAATCTTTTTTACCTTTAATAATCAAAATGTGATTGGGTAAGAAAGATTAGAGAAAAAAAATTTGAAAAACGAACCATTATTATTCTAAAAGAAATTAATTACATCATCGTTTAGTAGCCCGTGTTTCCTCCTCTTGCCTTCACTACTTCTTGAAGACTCCTCGGCATACTTTCCACCAGTCGGGAAATGTCCCTTTGCTGGAGGATAGCCCATTCCTCCCGAAGAGCCGTTTCAAGGTCCTGCAGTGTATCAGGAAGTGTTGCACGTGCTCTTATTCGTCTTCCAAGGTTATCCTATAAATGCTCAATGGGGTTCAAATCTGGAGAACGTGCTGGCCAGGCTAAAACCTCAATATTGTTTTGTTGAAGGAACGTCTGCACTATGCGGGCGACATGTAGGCGTGCATTATCGTGCATTAGAATAGAACGATCGCCGATTTCGTTGAGGATAGGCAACACATGAAGTTCCAAAATCTCATCTACATAGCGAATAGCCATCAAAGACCCTCCACAAACAACAACCAATTCTGTTTCTGCGGCGCTCCATTGAAATCCCAGCCCACACCATTAAGGAACCACGTTTGAAAGGTTGGCTCTGGGAAAAATTACAGGCTGCATATCTTTCGTTTCTTCTTCTCCACACCCTTTCACGCCCGTCTGGAGATCGAAGAGCGAATCTTGACTCATCTGTAAAAAGTACAGCACTCCAGTCGTCCATAGTCCAATGGCTGTGTTCTCCAGCAAAAGCCAGCCGTGTTACTCTGTGAGTTCTGGTCAACTCTGGTCCTCTTACTGGACGAAAAGCCATTAATCCATACTCATTTAACCTTCTCCAAGCGGTACGTTCAGAAATTTGCACGAACTTCTTCGAGCTGATGAATCGCTTGAATAACGTAAGGTGCCGGTTTCGTAAAATTCTCAAAGTCAAAAACCGGTCATCCCGTGCTTCTGTTACCCTAGGACATCCAGAACCGGGCCTTCTATTGTAAGAACCAGTTTCCCGAAAACGCCTGACGGCGTCTTGTAAAGTTTCATATGGAACTCCGATGGCATTAGCTGCATATCTCATGGAATGTCCATCATCAATAAGTGCCACATCACGCACAACATCCTCAGCACTAAGAGGCATTTTTAAACTTAATATTGAAAAAATTAAAAGCCGGAGACTGAATTAATGATACTGAATAAACATTTTAATTCCATAGAAAGTAAACATTGGAATCTAGAATCATTTCATTGAATTAAGGATTAAGGGTTATTGTCCTCTATATTAACATTCCTAATTGAAAACAAAAAGATTACCTATTTATTCATTAAAAACAATAGACCAATCCAAAGCAGAAATAATTTTAGATGAAAACATGAAAAAATCAAGTGGGTGGAATTTGTCAGTGTATTTATTTTTGAAAAAGTATTATTAGAAAAATTGTATCTATCTTTTACGTACTAACATACATTTTGAGAAAACTTGGGGAATAGAAATTTGTGACAATTATTCTACTTCTATATGATAAAATATTTTTATATTTTATAATATATTGTAAAACATATAATAATATTAATGTTAAGCCTGACTATCCAAACGTAGATTAATGTGAAATTAAATGGAAAGTGTTGGGGTCTTGTAAATAACAATTTTATAGTTGATTTTTTTTTTTTTTTTTATGAACAGGAAAGGAAATTATTGTGCAACAATCATACAAAAATTCATTTATTTAAATTATATACATCAAATAAATTAACTAATAGAAGAACTAAAACACAAATTTTATAAACCAGATTCTTTTGGAACAAGAGAATTCACCTTTTGGATCGAATTTCTAGGTAGATGATAGTTCAGATTTGTATTTCACATCTCGAAAAAGTCTAAAATATGACTATCCAGACAAACAGTTACAGGATTTTAGGACCAAATAAACTAGACAAAATGACCCAGACACCTGAAA